ATGGCTTGCCTGAGATGGATCTCAATTCAGAAAACAGATTAAAACTGAACCTTTCAGAAGGAGACCTCAGGCACACACAGATGTCTGTGGGGTAGCCTCCGTGCCACTGCAGCAGCAGGACAGGTTGCAGTTGCTTCTATCTGGCTCTGGAAGGATGCTACAGCTTCCCTTTGTTCTGCCTCCTCTATTGCATAACCACAGACAGCAACCACCATTAGCATTAATGATGAAAAGCAATTACTGAGGTGACAGCTTCAGCTTCAGTCCTCATTAGCCTTGTGCCCATCAGACCAAATACCTGCAAACACCTCAGTCACCCACAACCCTGGCCGTTTTGCCGTTTGCTTCTCACTGTGAAAAGTTAAGGCCTTAATGCCAGTGAATGCAAAGGGAAAGGGAGATGAAGGTACTTCATCGCATGCTCTTTTGAAAAACACTCCCATATACAAGAAGGGGAGCAGGGAGGACCCGGGGAACTACAGGCCGGTGAGTCTCACTTCCGTGCCTGGGAAGATCATGGAACAGATCCTCCTGGACAACATGCTCGATCACATAAAGAATGAGAATGTGATCCGAGACAGCCAGCACGGCTTCACCAAAGGAAGGTCATGCCTCACTAATCTTGTGGCCTTCTATGATGGAGTGACGGCATTGGTGGACGAAGGGAAGGCGACCGATGTCATTTACGTGGACCTGAGCAAGGCCTTTGACATGGTCCCCCACCACATCCTCATCTCCAAATTGGAGGGAAGTGGATATGATGGGTGGACGACCCGATGGATAAGCAATTGGTTGAAAGGCCGCAGACAGAGGGTGGTGGTCAATGGCTCCATGTCCAGGTGGAGGCCGGTAACAAGTGGTGTCCCCCAAGGGTCTGTCTTGGGACCGGTGCTCTTTAACATCTTTATTAATGACATCGATGAGGGAATTGAGTGCACCCTCAGCAAGTTTGCTGACGACACCAAGCTGAGTGGTACAGTCGATACGGTGGAAGGAAGGGAGGCCATTCAGAGGGACCTCAACAGGCTGGAGGGCTGGGCTCGGGTGAACCTAACGAGGTTCAACACGGCAAAGTGCAAGGTTTTGCATTTGGGCCGGAAGAACCCCAGGCACCCGTACAGGCTGGGAGGAGTGGTCCTGGAGAGCAGCTCGGCAGAGAAGGACCTGGGGGTCCTGATGGACGAGAGACTGAACATGAGCCAGCAGTGCGCTCTGGCAGCTCGAAAGGCAAATGGGATCCTGGGCTCCATCAGGAGAGGGGTGGTCAGCAGGGACAGGGAGGTGATCGTCCCTCTCTACTCGGCTCTTGTGAGGCCCCATCTGGAGTACTGTGTCCAGGTGTGGAGCCCTCAGTACAAGAAAGACATTGAGATTTTGGAAAGGGTCCAGAGGAGGGCGACTAAGATGATCAGGGGGCTGGAGCACCTCCCCTATGAGGACAGGCTGAGGGAGTTGGGCTTGTTCAGCCTGGAGAAGAGAAGGCTGCGGGGTGACCTCATGGCAGCCTATCAATACCTGAAGGGAACCTACACCCACGAGGGGAGTAAACTCTTCAAAAGGGCTGACAACAGCAGGACTAGGGGAAATGGATCAAAGTTGAAGGAGGGAAGATTTAGGTTGGATGTTAGGGGGAAGTTCTATACAAGGAGAGTGGTTAGGCCCTGGAACGGGCTGCCCAGGGAGGTTGTGGATGCCCCGTCCTTGGATGTGTTTAAGGCCAGGTTGGACAGGGTCCTGGGCAACCTGATCTGAATGTGTGTGTTTGGTGGCCCTGCTAGGCAGGGGGGTTGGAACTACATGATCCTTGAGGTCCCTTCCAACCCAGGTGATTCTGTGATTCTGTGATTCTGTGATTCTGTGTACTTGCTTTCTGCCGTTACGGTTGCAGTTTGCTATGGCAGCTTACATTCTCAGCTTTCCATGCCGCATGAAAGGCATTCAGCCTGACAAAACCACTACTCAGTATTTGGTTGTCGTTTGCAATTTGTGTTATTGTTAGCTAAATGAAATTATTTTCTAAGCTGCCTTCTTTCTCTTTCTTCCTTCTCGCTTTCTTTTTGCCCCCAAATAAATAACTGAAGCGACACGAAATATCCCAAGTCAATACCTTGTTGTATTTTATCTGCTAATCACTTTGTGAAATTGCATGTAAGTTTGTTTTTCCAAGTAGCATTTGGTTTCTGGCTGAAGCTGAAGCAAGCTCCTAATAGTAAGGCGGAGGAACATTCTTTACATAGGTGTGTCTTCCTTCATGATGAGTAATTAAATATTTTTGTCCACATGCTTATTCCCCAGTGCTTCTGATTGCTACAGCTGCTTTACCCTATATTAAACAAATGAGCTCACAGGAAGGACTCCCCTGTCTACAGAGGGACCCCTACACCATCATGGGATTTTGACTTTTGTTTCATTGTAAGCTTTTAGCAGAGTGCTTGGCAAATCTGTTTCATCTAGCAGCTTTCTGTATTGAGCATTCTGAGAAAGAGCATTATATTTTATCAGAAAATATCTTTAATATTCATGATCAAAGAACAGCTTGTGTTTACTCAACAATTTTGTCTGTTGGTATTCTCTAGTCAAAACTTTCCAGTATTGCTTACAACAGCCTAGTGACACCTCCTTGCCCATTAGGCAACCGAGGACTTTTGTTTAGGTGGAGATTACCAACATTTTTTGGGGCATCTAACCATCTGTTTCTTCTGCTTCTGGGAGGTTGGAGGAATTCTTCTGCTTCTGAGAGGTTGGAGGAATTGCTCATGTTTGAGCTGGAGGGAATTTGAAAAACAGCTACTTGTAGCTAATCATATTTTCTTCAGTGATTAGCAGCATTCCCGGGGGAATTGAACAATTCCCAGAGGAGTAGGAGTTATGGACAAAGCAAACTTGTTCTCCTTATGTTTTGTCTTAATTGAAATGGGGAATGTTTTTAACAAAAACAAGATTGTCTATTGTCGCAGAATCGCAGGATTATGGCTTTTATTGATGTGGATTGTTCTAATACTGATATGTATCTTTATTCTTGTTAAGCAAATCCATTACATCTCCCACATATTTTCATTATAAAGCAAGAAATAAGAACTTCATTGCATTTTAGCACATTTAAACTGGAGTAGACATGCAGACTTTTAGTAGTTAAACTGATGTTTATATCAGATATAAAGATCAATAGTTTTCATAGTTACTCTATGTTTTAAACAAAATGCTTTAATGGTGTTCTCTTGAAACACAGCCAGCATCTCACTGCGTGCAGATGTAGATGTCTGCTCAGAAGACACAAACTGGGTGCGGGGGAGTGGGGGAAGTAAGGCTTGATGGGAAAATTAAGATACGCTGATCCCCTAATCATGAAAGAGAACTCAAGTGATTCCTCTATTGCCATTCAAGAAAACCTACAGGGCTACATGAGACAAATCATAAATCTGGCTGTAAACTCAAAACTCAAGTCTTATGAGGAGCGGCTGAGGGAGCTGGGATGGTTCAGTCTGGAGAAGAGGAGGCTCAGGGGAGACCTCATTGCATTTTACAACCTATTGAAGGGAGGTTGTGGTGAAGAGGGATTTGTCCTCTTCTTCCAGGCAACGAGCAGGACCTGGGGAAATGGCTGCAAGTTGTATCAGAGGAGGTTTAGGTTGGACATAAGGAAGAACTTTTTCTCTCAGAGAGTGGTCAGGCACTGGAATGGCTGCCCAGGGAGGTGGTGGAATCACCGTCCCTGGCAGAGTTCAAGAGGTGTCTGGACGACGTGCTGTGTGATGTGGTGTAGTGCTGGTGGTGGCAGTGGTGGTGAGGAGATGGTTGGACTGGATGATCTTTATAGGTTGTTTCCAGCCTTGTGATTCTATGATTCTATAACTGTTCTTGTCCCTGAGCCTGGGGTGTCTCTTGAACAGGGCAAGTGCTGCAAAGTCTTTGAGCTGCGTTGAGTATCTTAACTTTCTAATAGTATTGATGGCCTTGGATATACTGACGTTTTAGCTAATTTCAGAGATAATTGATGTCAAATACTTCATTTCATTTTTTTTCTCTTTTGACTTGGTTGCTGTGAGAGAAGGGTAGAGGTGTAGCTTTTGACTTGGTGATCTGAACAGAATGAATGAGAATATGCTTAAGCAAAGTTGAGAAGCAAATCAATGTTATAGATTTGGATGGTTTTGAGGAATGTTTTTTTTTAGTTTTTTTTAATGCTGTAAACTTTTTTTTTTATTGCGGAAAAAAATTCTGGTAATAGGTGGTGAATCTAAGATTAGGCTAAGAATCCAAGGGTTTATGTGAAGGAAATACAAAACTTCAAATTCAGTTAAGTCATAAACACATGCAATTGTGTGACTGATGTTTGCACTTGACCAGATTTGATCTGTTCAACATCCACGTAGGGACACAATCTCAGGTAACAGAAGCAAGGAGATAGGTGCACTGATAGAAGGCAATTTTTTTTTTTTTTTTGCATTGAATCCCTGGGTGAGGAAGAGATTTTACTTTTTTTCATTGTGATTTGTGTTTGTTTTTGTTGTGGTTTTTTTTTTTTTTTTTTTTTATTTTATTTTTTTTTTTTTTTGCAATGTCACGAATCCCACAAAAAGATGAAAGCATAGCTTGAAATAATCTGAAAGCTGAAATGACACAAAACAGGGCAGTGCAAGTGTGGACTGAAGGCTTTTATGGAATCTGGTATTTGATATTCATTTTAAAGCTTTCTTTCCAACTTATTTGTATGTAGTGTTTGTCTTTGGTTATATATAAGACCTCCTGCTCTGTCTCTTAGATTTTAGTGTGAGCTTCATAGTGAGCTTTGAAATGTCTTTCTGTATGGAATGTGACAGGGCATTCAAAAATCTCAATACAGCAACTTCTTTTTTTAGCAAAGCATGCCTCCCTTTTTTATTTTCTGGATCATTTCAGTGGATATAAAATCATTTGTATTGTATTTCATATGAAGATGATGCACTGACTTCAAGTATAATAATGGACTCTTTTGTTTTCTTCTGCATATTTTTCTGCAGGTTAAAGTGTGTCAGGAGGAAAACCTACCAAACCCCGAAACACTGTTGAGTAGATACACTTTCAACATGAACCGTGCATTTAGTAGGAAGAAAGGTAAGCCATTTCATTTTTGTTGTGTTGGAAACATAAATATTCTGTATACATTCTTGAAGATGTTAAGAATTATACAAGAAAGTACTTAGGAATAATTACATCTGATCAATTAAGTAGAGTAGAGCAACCTTTTGTGATGTATAGAGTAAATTGTTCTTGACAGAAAAAAACTTTTCGGATTCTAAGGCTTAAGTTTAATTTAATACTTTTTTCTTTACTGAGATGTGTGTGCTTATATAAAAATATATACATATACAAATATACACGTATATGTTTGTGGCTTTCCTGGGCTCACCAATGGATGTGCTAGAGAGTTTTAGAACTTCTAAAGACTTAACAGTGACTTCTGCATTTACATTATGTTCCCTGGGTTCCTGGATAAGCTATTTGAGAAAGCCATCCTTTAATATACTCAGAGTATCTCATGCTGCAGAACAGCTCTTAGCTTTAAGAAGCTATTTTGAATTTGCAGCAATCTGAAACGCACCCTTTCCAAAAGGATAACAAACCACTGAATATTCAGAGTTGTGCTTCTGTTTGCTGCTTCTCTTTTCGTGGTCTATTTAGGATTAAGCATACTTTTTAAATGAAGTAAAACAAGTGCAGTTGTTACCTTTTTTTCTGTCAACATTTTTGTATTTTCTTTTATTTGTTTAGAAAGTAGGAAATCAGTCATGCTACTTTCTTTTTGTTCTCATGTTTTCTTCTAAAGATTCTTAAGTGTGACACACTAAGCCTGAGCCTCTGCTTCAGTAATCAAGTGAACTCAACTGAATTGAGGCAAAAAAATTTGTTTATGTAGCAAGAATTCCTGCTTTTGTATCATTATCAAAGCCGGGAAGAAAAGGAATCTGTCATGCATTAAAGCATCATGAAGAGATAACATCTCTGCATCCTTTCCTGTCTAGTATATTGATTTGCTACAATGAGACAAACTGAGATAAGCAAATCAGAACACCAGAAGTTGTCATTTGATCACAGAGGAGATAAACATTATCCATAAAGGCTACAAAAACTAATTAAAGATCATTTGATACCTCAGAAGAAAGACAAATGCTTAGGAAATAAACTGAAATCCGTAACTGATGCTCCTAAGCACTGATGTAACAAACCTATCAAGAGATCTGTACCTACCAGTTACTTGGTAATGCTGCCTAGATTATGCCAAAGAATTTGAGAGACTGTTCCAATATCTACGAACTGTGGATTTATTTATCATGGGTGGGAAAGAAGCTTAGGGTTTTAATATTTTTTTGTTGTTGCAAATGGTTTTTTTCTTCTAATGATTTATGATAATTAAAACTTAGCATACCACCTTTCAGAAACAGACTAATTCTGTTTTATGGGCTACTTGTGGGTTATCTGACTTGCATGCAGAGCTCTGAAATCTTTCACTAATTCAACTTGCTCTTGTTGGCAAGGGCACATTTAATCAATTCTGAGGTTGTACCCTCTGGTATCTGAGATCATTAGTTGGGACTGGATTAATTCCTTTCTGTGCTCACCTGCTTGTGGTAAGAAAATTCTTACGAACTTCACCTGAACTACTGGAATTTCGAGAGCATTTTCTTTGTTGGTTAATCAGGTGGGTTTTTTCGTAGGTTATTTTCTTTACCCCCAACAAGAACAACACATTGATCATGAAAGGCAGGCACAGTGAACTGAAATTGTGACTGCTTAATGATGATTCAGAATTTGAGGGAGCAGAAGATTTTGACAGTGGCATCCCCCGAGTTTGCTGATAGTAATGCAACACGCTTACATTCTCATATTCTAAGAAAAAGACAAATTCCAGATAAACAATTGTCAAGATATATGTATATTTATATATTGCCATTTGACGTTCAGAAAAGCTTGGCTATATCAGTGTTTAATAAGATGTAATCTGAAAAACAAATCTGTTCAAGAGTGGGCTCTAAGAGGTTTGGCTGTTGAACTATAATGTATTTCCTAATTTCACTCCCAGATCTCAGAGGTAAAATGATTTCCATATATGAGTTCGGTGAGGTTGATGTGGGTTTCTTTTGTTTGCAAAAACACGGATATTTTGAAGAGCTGTATATGAATGCAGTGACTTTCCCTGGCAGTTGTCTTTAAAACTAAATTAGCCTCCAGCTGTCTGTGCTGGTAGGATTTGTGCTAATTAGAAGTTTGCAGCAGTTTATTATTGTGGAGCAGTTTGAAACAGCTGTTTCAGACATAAATTCCTACCAGAATTTGAATAGGTGTGATACGTTTACAATAGCTAACGATTATCTGAAATGCGTGGAGTTGGTATCTCCCTTAAATCATCTTCATCACAGTCAGTGTATACCGGTCTTTCAGTACAATGCATGTTCAGAACATAGTAGCTCCTTAAATCTTTGAACCAATTATGCTGCTGATTGTGCTGGATCACACCTCCCTTTGAGCTTTTTTTTGCTCAAAAGCTTGGTTCTTGCTTCACTGCCATTCAAATGGCACAAGTTTCCTTGTCAAGAAGTGCTTTCCTTATTAACAGCAGAGGTCAATAGGTAAAGCAAAAAGAAAAGCACTAAAAACAACCATATTGAAGGCTGGCTAGCAGAGTGTGCATTCACAAAAGAGCTGCAAGGAACAAGTTACTAGTAGGAAAAAGATATGAGCTCTTGGTTAATTAACTTATACCATTCTAAGAAAAAAAAAAAAGCTTCCCAAAGACACAGAGTGTGACATGACTGTGTATTGAGCATTACAGAACAATGGATTTGTCCTCAATCATAGTAGTGCTCTTCAGAGATCAAGGCAAGGCTGGATGTGGCTTTGGGCAGCCTGGTCAAGTGGTTGGCAACCCTGTCTACAGCAAGGGGATTGATACTAAATGGTCTTGAGGTCCTTTTCAGCCCAGGCCATTCTATGCTTTTATGACCAGACTCTTATCTTTGATATTCCACTACTGCAGTGGAATTTTGCAGTATGTAGGATGTCTGGAGTAAGTACTTAGTGTAAGTTTATTTCTGAAGGCTATTATATGGGTGTGAAATAACCATTTCCAATGACTGTGTGCTGAGGGCTCTGTTTCTAAAAATGGGCATTACTGTCATTGACCACATGACACAATACAACTTCTAGCTTGAATATTTGATGTTTGTATTTCAGTTGAAATTTTTTTTTAGTTGACTGATGGCTGTTTTAGTTAAAATCCTAACTGATGTAATAAAATTTAAAATTGAATATAAATCAAGCTTTCATCTTTCACCCTAATGATGACAATGAGAAATACAAGAAAATGAGAAGCATGAACAAATTCAGCTTGTTTCAGGGAGTTCTTACCCAGGCAACTATAAATAAATTGAAGTTGCAATATCTGTTCTGATCAGTTTGCTCATATAACTTGTAACATTTCATAATTTATGAAATAACATTGAGAAAAAAGTTGATTTCTGGTATAAAGCTGATACCACCACCTGCTGAACTCTCATGCTTCAATATGGGAAAAATAGCCTTTGCTTCCATACCTGTTCCAAGTAAAAGAGCTGACCTTCATGCTGACATCACCGGAAGTTGGTTGGATTACTAATAGCATATATCAGGGAGAAAACTTTCTATTTTAGAAATATGGTAAGACTTCGCAACTGTACAAAAACATTAATTGTACATTCCATTCCTTGGACTATAATCAAAAGAGGTTTTATAGATTATTAACAGTCTCTTTCCTTTTCTTAGTTAAAGAAAAAAAAGCAGACAAAAACATCAAATCAAGAACAGTGTATTGTATGTTCATGTTGCATTGTTAATATAACCATGCTTGTGAAAATATATATCAATCTATCGACAGTATCAGGAGCTTTCTTTTGGATTTGATCTGCTTTTGGGTCATTGTCTCTGTCAATCTTTTCTTTTGTTGTTTAACGTCTAGTGTAGTAGTAGTACAGTTGCTTTGATATAATGCAACATGGAAAGTGACAGACTGAAGTCAGTTCTATCCTTTAAGTATTCATCTTCATGATTTCAGTCTTCTACGTAGGCAGTTTAGGAGTAATTCTTTGTAACCTCGTGTAATTATTTGTAAGTGACCTTTGTAACAGCTGTTTTGTTCAACTTTGGGATTTTTCTTCCATTATTTGTGTGTTGTTATCTGAACTGAATTATCATATTGGTCTTAATTTACATGGTAGTGTGTACATGAAGTCTGTATACACAACCAAAAACATGAGTTATGTTGTGGGTTTTGTTGTTGCTGTTGGAAGGGGTGTGTGTGTGTGTGTGTGTGTGTGTGTGTGTGTGTGTGTGTGCTGTTCTTCACATTTCTCTCCTTTTTGGTGAGTGGAGGGGACACCTCCCAGATAAGCCCGGAACACTTGTCTGGTTCTGTGGATTTTCGTTCAGTCATTAGTTCAAGAAATGGTGTTACTATGAGACAAAAATGAGCTAGCGTTGTTTGTGTTGTGCCACATTGGATATGAGAAAGAGGTACAATTGAGTATGGGATAGCTGTAATTCAGACTTTTTGGGATAAAAACATTGCAACTCTGAGTGTCTCAAAATACTGCTAAGTATGTAGCTCCATGTATCCACATCTGCTAAATTTAGCCTAGAATTATGGTGTGTGAAATCCAAGCAAGTTTACCTCGTTTGTGGAGGACAACAAATTACAGCTGAGTGTGGTTCATTCTTTCTTATACCACAGTGATCCTATTTCATCTTAGAGTAAATGTCAGTCTTAGTTTACAAGAAGTTCAGTTCCAACGCTGCTGTTGGGTGCAGGAATCTGAATTTGCTAATGGTGGGTTTCTTTGGCCTATGAAGGTTGGTGATTGCTGCCAGGTTATCAGCTCATGAGATGCAGATGGCGTTCATAATATTAAAGGGAATGTATTGAAGCAATTGCTTATCAGGAATTGTAAGTTTCAGCAATATCCTTTCAATGTAGTGTCTTTTGAGTCTCGTCTATGAAAATGCAGACAGTTGGATTTAATTGTCAGGGTTTATATAGGATGCTCTTTTACAAGAGTGGGCTGTCTCTAATGTGACCTTTATCT